AACATGAAAGAAACCACCTCCACCAGATGTCGCATAGTTGTGATATGGATTAAGGCAGCAGGCGGCAGTTCCAAGATAAAATTTTTTGTTTGGCCATACTTGTGGCCAAGAAACAAAGTCAAAGACTACAGCAAAGCACAAGTTCGGTTTCTTTTCGAACGCACCTCGTGTTATGCCGCTATTTTTGTTGCAATAGAATATCGAGTGCCTTGAAATGTCAGTTTCACACAAGTACATACAGTTCTTCATAGGTGGTATCTGAAAGGGCTAAGAGAGCAGTTCACTTTTATTACTTTTTTCTTCTCTCAAGAAACCCTTGCACCACTTGGGCCGTTGCTCAATCATTCGCAAAGTTTGAGATTAGCTAGTTTGTATGACGAGACCTCAATGTCGAGGTGTTTCATGCATTTGGCACTGTAGTCACTGCCTGCATTGCTTCACTTATGGTGCTGGCAACAGTGCTGTCACCAGGGATATTTTAGGGGGAGAGAGGAACACATGCTCAGTACAATACTTGCAAAAACCCTGAATGGCAGTGAAAAACTTGTGCAAAGACACATGCCAGTCATGAGGCATATGAACATCGATACTTGTATAATGCCTTGCTGAATCGAAACTTCGTATAGAGATTAAATAAGAGGTGTGAGCATAACATTTCACAGCTCTGCATTTGGATATCCTCGCACTTGTCGAAATTTATATTTTGGGGCTTCTGGATTTATAGATGTCCACATTTCTTTGAGAAACATAAACTAGAATGCAAGTAGTAGTCAAGCTTCTAATCTTCATAACTGCAAAAATATTAGAAATGTATGCAAAGAAATAAGCTATCTTTCATCCTCAATGCCAAAAGACATAATAAACTGGGTGTATTATGCTGTGTCAATAGGTGCTATTATGAATATTTTCATAGCATTACAAAGACTTAGCATCGATGTGTACAGCTGACTGAAATGCGTGGCCTCCACATTTGACCAGCAGCTTCCATAGGCAAGTATTTGTACATTTTCAAGGCCACTTGTGGCAGCCTCAGTTGGTCTACTTTTGTTCAGAATGCTTCTTCAAAATTAAGAAATATATTGCTTTTTCATTTTACAACAGCTTATAAATCTTACAGCTGGTTTACTATTTTACTCTGATTTTAACATTACATTGCAGTGAAGCGCCAAGTTCATAGGCTGAAGAAGCGTGCAGAACTTCGCAGAAAATAGACATTGCTGGCATTAACCGATATATTTGCCACCATGCCTGTGAAGGCTTTGCAAAACAATTTCCAGAATATATTTGCCTTTGCAGCATTTTCTACCTGGCATATGCTGTGTTGCAAGAGGCAGTTGAACTATTTGCTGCATTGAATTTAATATCTATTTCTAAAGTGTATACTATTGAATTATGAAGTCTTATTGCGTCTTATAATCCTTGCAGAAATCAGGCAGTCATATGCACGGATGTTTATTTGAACAGGTACATGCGTAAGGACTGGCTCTCGCCTATACAAGGTTGGATGAAGAGGGGTCTAAGCAAGCAATGATCCTGTGATACTTCGAATGGCATTACACCCCAGCAAAGCATTGTTTTTAAATGATACAAAAATAAAACAAAGTGTAATTGCAAGATCCTGGGTGACTTTTATGGTCTCATAGTTTCCTAAAAGTAACTCTGGCACTGCAGTCGTTCAGTTGCCATAGGAATGATGGGTACTTCACAGATTTGCCTAGTTTTCGTGTTTGCAGGCTTCCCATGCACTTGTGGCTGTGTTCATAGCTATACATTGATTTTAAAGCTTTGCTAAACTTTGTCTTGTGGCAAAGCGAATTCAGGCCACACGGAGGTAAAAGAACGAACATTAGACACATTCGTGTACTACCCATCCCTGCCATGCTAGCTGAAGTGCTGTGCGTTGCAGCTGCCACAGACACTAGCATCAAAGTTCCCTATGTTTCATTCAGAGCATGGTCTATGCTTTAGAACATCCTCCAGTGTATCTCTATGCATGGTCTGCACTCCTGATTTTACTTCAATTTCATGTGACGACTATGTGGCACTTGTGGCCAGGTATGTTTTTTTTTTTTACTTGCCTCAAGTTTGATTGATTGATATGTGGGGTTTAACGTCCCAAAACCACCATATGATTATGAGAGACGCTGCCTCAAGTTTGCATGACTGCTTGTTGGACAAGGACGGGTTGTAGAAAAAAAAAAAGAGAAAAACATCATGTCGAGGTGCTCGGTCGCATATTATAACGTTGCGCGTGCCCCCACAGCTTCACCGCATTACACATGCATGCTGCACTGAAGCACCGAAAAAGAAAAGAAATCACGGGCGCTTTTTTCTGCAGGACGCACCAGAAAAAAAAAAAATGTTGTTGTTCGAACCTTACTTGCGCTGATAGGCAATATTTAAGCAGCGGCGTTCTTTTGCCTTAATGATGGCGTATTATCTTGTCCGTGTAATATACCAAGGAGGCGTTGAATATACGAACGGGCAAGGCCGGAAGCTTTACTTGTTTTAAGCCGCACAATGGCGTTTGGAAGGTCTTCGTGTTGCATGGCATGTTCCCTATTCATAATGCGTAGCTTAGAAGTCAGTGCTGAGCATCAGCTAAAGCTAATTAACGCTAAAGTGACGACCGCGACGTAGCGGGGTGTGATTTTTCCGAAACCCCCTTTTTGACCAGCGACGAGGCAAGGCTTGCAACAAGTACGTCATCGCGTCGTTTTGTGTTGATTGCATACGACTTAGTAAACATCCAAACTTACATCATTGATAACAGGCCGGCAAAACTGCGCAGAGCGAGGAGCGCAGCGCAGCGGCGATGCAAGGCGCGCGCACTGCTTGAAACATGAACGATTGCGAGATGTCAATCGTAGAGGGTTTTCCTTTTCTTGATCACATCGTTCCAGTGCCCACTTGCGTCATGAACGAGTCGGGTTTCGGTTGGTTGCGAGAGACGACAGGTGGGCGCACACGATTTCTTCGCGAGTATCCAACTGAACTCGGCGCAGGTCTAAAAGCCTTGGTAGGGGTTTCCTTTGCAGGCAAAGGCCCCCTGCTGGTGCAGCAGCCTTCCGGCAACGCTATGCGAAAGTGCGGGGAGCGACAGCGCGATGATACAGTTAGGCCGGCGGAAATGCATAGCCTCCAAGAGCGCTAGGCCGCGGTGCATTGTGGGGGGCTTTATCCGCTCGCCTTTGTAAACTCGCGCCCGGCCAACTGCGCGTACGTCGTTTTCCCAGAGTCATAACGTTTCCCCTGCTCCATTTTGTGGAATGTAGACTGCAGGTCACAACAGCGGACAGCCAAAGTCGTCCCAGTGGCACAAAAGAAAAAAAAAAACAAGTACCATGTGAAAACAAAATTGCTGTCGAGAAGGTCCTGGGGGGAGGGGGCGTGGTCGGTAGTTTGGGGGCCGGGGGCGATTGCCCAATCACCCCCTTCCCCTTGGATCCGCAACAGGCAGAATGTCTCTATTTTTTTCCACAACAGATTTATTTCTGACTTTTCTCTCTAGTTTTCTGCCATCAATACTCTATATCTTACCGATTTCTACCACGGGCATGTTCAGCTCCCGAAAACCCAAAACTTCAGGTAGGCTCGTGCTCAAGCATTCACTAGATGTATTCACATTCAATTGATCAGGACATGGTCCGTCTTTTACACCCATAACATGTGCATCGTTCTTCTTTACTGAATCTCGCTTTAATAACTGCGTCTTCTAAGGCAACACGATCTCGCTTCAAACAGTAAAGCGCTTCCCTTCGGTGAATTATCACGAAATGCCTCCCTCCTAACTTTGTTTTCGCGCTATCGGTTACGCAGAGGCGTATTTTTTTTTTTTTTCATTACAGCAATCCCGTAAGTCCACTACAACGTTTCACTTAACGCCCTTTGTTGCCATGTCACTTACTGGTGCCGTTGTGAGCATGCTAGTTCTTTTCTCCCCTAGAAAAAGTCGCAGCATGTGACAGCTGCTGTCAACGAGACGGGGAACGCGCGCCCTTTGGTGCCCGCGCCACTTGGATAGTATAGTACCAACCATATAGTTCATCGTGTCTGTTCCTGAGACGCCTCTCAAGAAGATGAAGCACAGCGACTCAAAATATCCCGCTATGTCCCTACTGGACTGGCAGAGGCCAGCTGTGGTGTCGTACATGCACAAGGTTACACCCAGCCTGAAAAGAAGCGGCTAGTCGTGAAGTGTGCCAACAATGCCGTATACGAGATTCCCCTGTCCTGCGGCAAAGTTTGCATGGGCCAGACCAACGTTTATCTATAAACGTTGGGCCAGACAGGGCGCCCTGCCTCTATGGGGAACACGACAGAAATCTTAATAATGAGAGGAGTCACCCTGTTGACCACTGCTTGGCTTTCCCGCATTGTGAAGCGCGATTTAGCTGTGCGAAAATCCTAGGCAGAAGCTATACAGAAGCAGAGATAAAATGGCTCGCGAAACACTGGAAGCATTTTTTTATTTAAAAAAATGACGAGTGCGTAAGTAAAACCTACGTTGCACTGTAAAAGGCTGAATTTTAATTTCTTTTTCGTCTTGTTTATTTTTTTGTGGTTGTTGTAGCGGTGCCCCTGCGCAGGGTGTTGATATATAGAGGCCTCCGTGTATACAGGTGTGGAGCTTCTTTGAATAAAGCCGGTTAGTAGTTTCGCCTGTCCTCCTGAGTCTGTTCCTGTGTGCCGTGTTTTGTTGAAACACTTCCTTATTCCTCGATCCTCGCTGCAAAGGCCTCGTGTAGTTTTTGTGCTTTTATAACTCTAGTGATCACCGTAATCAAGTATTTCGAACCGAAGTTTCGCAAACAGTCAAATCAGTTCAAATAGATGGCGCAATTTTTTGCACTATGAAACACAAAAAGGAAAAATTAACGTTATAAACGTTATATTTAGAAAATTTTTTTTGTAAAAATTAGTTTAATATTAACCTCTAAATACTTTTCATTACATGGATTCATGTTCACGTGACCAGTAATGGCGAATCAGCGTTCAGATGGCTCCCATTTCGGTTGCCGCTCAGAGGGACGCGCCGCTGGCTTTCTTGGGAGGACGGGGCTTTTGCTTAACCACGCGTGAGACAACGACACGGGCACATATATTTGAAACTGTGTGCCTATCGTGGATTTTCGACACAGATTCGCCCGAGTATGCCCGTCGGTTGGTACGAAAAGCGCAGGAACCCAAAGACCGGTGGTCATGTGATCCGAACTGACCAATGGGGCCTACGCATTTGAACGTCCTCGTATAAAAGACGACCTTGCACTGCGTAGCCATTGCTGTTTGCAGATTCTGATACTCGGGCAAGTAATCCGGGTGGAAAATGGATATGGCACGCCATCCCACAGGCAAAGGTTACCTGCAGTCCACGCACAGCGTCAGCAAATGGTACTATGCCGTTATTTTCAACTAGGGAGGTTGTTTGAGTGCTCGAAATGACTTTTATGCGCGCACGATTCCTGTTGTAACCCGTCCGAAGGACAGCCATTATTGATTTGGCAGTGAGGCTTGTTAACGTGCGCATTAGAAGTGCTTGGTGTTAATAAACTAGTGCTATTTAAGCGGCAAACTGTGCACCTTGTGATTCTCTGGTCATTAAAGCTCTTGCAGGTTGCAGTTGTTGCCCGTAACTGTGCTTGCTTGTTCGACGCGGAGCGAAGTAGTGCGAAGCCTAACGTCGGTGGCGTTTTGTTCTGGCGAAGCGCATATAAAATGCGCCATATTCTGGTTTGCCGAGTGCATCCTCTGTGTGCGCGGGCGGCAAGCGTGTTTGACGTCGCCGGCAGTGTCGCCTTGCGTGCTTTCCTTGAAGGCCGGCGGCGCATCGCGGCCGGCGGGCTCAACTGTCGCGGCGAGTGTTTAACGTGTACTACCTCTTTTTCCCTAGCAGTGTATGATCTGCACCCGGGGCTGCTCGTCTTCCCTCTCATCGCGCGCCCTCTGCAAGCACAGCAGCACCTGGGAAGATATGCATGGAGTGAGTAGTGTTTCCCGCCTTCCTTGCACTGGGCAGCAGCCCGGGCTTTTCGTGCAACCGTCTGGCCGTTCGTTGAGCGAAAAGCCCACGGCTTGTCTCCCGTTTCATGCGTCTGTGATGCGCATGCATCATGGTGTCATTGACCTTTATGCACAGTGATTTAAAGTGCCTTGTCAAGCGCGGGGCCGCTCGGTGCTCTTTTGGCACAATGCGTAGCCCCGCCGCGGTGGTCTAGTGGCTAAGGTACTCGGCTGCTAACCCGCAGGTCGCGGGTTCAAATTCCGGCTGCGGCGGCTGCATTTCCGATGGAGGCGGAGATGTTGTAGGCCCGTCTGCTCAGATTTGGGTGCACGTTAAAAAAACCCAGGTGGTCGAAATTTCCGGAGCCCTCCACTACGGCGTCTCTCATAATCATATGGTGGTTTTGGGACGTTAAACCCCACAAATCAATCAATCAGTGCGTAATGTTATATATGCAGCTTTGTTTACTTGCCGTCAAGGTACCCCTCTCTTCTCGCTCGTTGGCTTGTTGTGCGGGGCTACACCACTTGCCGCAGGTTTCTCTGTAGCAGAAGATTGAACGTCTGGACGCAGCCAATGCCTGTGTGTATTTCACAGGGAATTGAGCATGTCGCAGAGCAGTGTAGGGTGATCCTGGACTTTGTTAGCGCTTTCTTGCACATATTTTAGTGTGGTATTCTGTGACGAACATTCGTCAAGCAATGCAAAGGGAAAACCAGCAGCAGCGACTATTGTTAGCTCATCGAGATGTCGTCAAGTCTCACTGCTGCACGATTCGATGTTTGCTTTTGTGAAAATAGCAGCTTCGTGACCAGACAGCATTGTGATGAAGCTTTGTTGTGAACAGATGGAAGATGACGATTGTGCACAGTGGCTTCCTCCCCGTGCGCTTTGATGCCCGGTTTTTTGTAGGTGTCCTGTCAGCTTCGTATAGCAGTGAAATGGATCACAGCCACACATTTCAATACTCCAGGGACTTCTCTTATGGACACCAGTTGTCAAATAATGTGGAAAACTGGCATTCCTAGCATAATTAGTACCTTATCCAGCACCGCCTCACATATTTGCTGAATTCTTCTGAAAAGAATGCTTGTGAGTTTTCTTGGGAGGCATTCAGCAGTAGAGGCAAAAACAAAATGAGTCTGCGTAACATGAAAATATACCTCATGACTGCCTCATTGGAAGAGATTTAGTAATTAGCAAGGTTCCCCTGCTTTCACATTGGTGACGTGTGTGCTTATCTAAGGTCACTGCATTGGTAATCTGTGCCCTTACTCGCTTGAAGATTGCCCAGAATGTCTTTGTATGGGTTGTATTCACGTGAAGTTATCTGAGGAGCGCCAGCTGCTGGGTTGCCATTTTGAAGGGTTGTACACTTGACAAACTTGTGGCAGGCGCTGCGTTCTTAAATCCGTCCGGCGACTTGGATGACTATAGAGACAGTGCGGACCTGCACGCTGACATGCGGACACTATGCCACTGTAACAGCATGTATGGTACATATGAACAGACTTGCGAAATGGCATGGCGATAATGTTGTGGCCTTGCGGATTGAGGCTCTGCGCATCCTATAGACACATCAATCAAGAGGAACCTGTAAATATCCTGCATGTCACGTCATGGACACAGATTCTCGACATGTGCTGGCACTCGCAATAGTGGCTTCGATGGCAAACAAAATATGCTTAACTTGCTTCGATCTGCTGATGACATTGCAGGCATGCCTCTGTGTGTGAATAAGGGAAGAACCTGCATGTGATATTTTAATAACATTAATTTGACATTGCCAATGTTTTGCACCCGCTGGTGTTAGTGATGGCACGGCAAGTTCTTTATTGAGAAGCTCCTGAAAATCTGCCAGATCCTATGCATTGTGAGCGTCTGATCCAAAGTCGCCAACGAGTAGCAGCCTATTAAGGCATTATGAGGTATACATCTTCGTGTATATCAAGTAGTGTGTGTAGCGTGTGCTTTTAGCAGCTTCACTAAGCCCGCTGGCATAGAAGCTCATGTAGTGATACACTTGTATCAGAGCCGAGGCGTTGGTCAAGTGCCACAAAGTGCATGGTAAGATGTGATATGCATAAGCGGAAGTCGTTGGCTTATATGGGCAATACTTGACTTTAACAAGACTGTAACTGGTTGAGTCATTGATACATGATGTTTCCGAGGCGTTGGTCAAGTGCCACAAAGTGCATGGGAAGATGTGATATGCATAAGCGGAAGTCGTTGGCTTATATGGGCAATACTTGACTTTAACAAGACTGTAACTGGTTGAGTCATTGATACATGATGTTTTATAGATATAAAGTGTGTAACAAAGACTGGTTGTCCTTGCACTGGTCTTGTGCTCGCTTGTACAGGGTCTTTTTCTGAAACGGCGAGATGGACTGGTGTGACTCTGTGGTTAAATGTGTGGCTGTCATGCAGAATGCTTGGGTTCAATTCTCGCTCGAGCAAAGTTTTTTTTTTTTTTGTCTATTCGAATATGTCGCCTGTCAACAACGCTGTAGTCGCTGGCACTCTATTTTTTTTTCTCTGCGACACAGATAACTTCAAGCTGTTGCATTTAAATTTGCAAAGTGCAGGCGCATACCTGCTTGCCATGGACCGTGGTACGCGGGTATGTGCGACTTGACATTGGGGAAAAAGTTTCATAACGGAAGTGAAAGGGAAGCTGCATTATTCATGTAACGACCTGCAAACTGGGCTCATCAAACAATCACATTGTTCTATTCCAGTAGGCCTAAAAAAAAAAAAGGAAGTCGGGAGATAGAGATAACTACATGAGCACCAAGACTTCAACAGATAGGTACAAGATAGTGGTTTGTGGCCAAAAAATGCTTTGCAATTGATATACAACAGCAGCAGCATAGGTAGAGGAAGGTGGCTGGTGCCATTCTTATTCATTTGCTCTTGCAATTCGATTGAGTAGAGATTCTCATAACGCAGTGTATGCAGCCAGACGAGTGTAGATTAATTGCTCAAGAAGAAATAAGCACCATCTCCCACTATAGGGAGCCATGTATGCGAAACAGTGCTGGTGTTCAGTTGTGTTTCAATTTGTATGTTTCCATGTATGTTTCACTTGAGTGTGGAGTTGTGTGTATGTTGCATGCTGCTTATGTTACCCGCCCACTCCCATTTGTGTGTATTATTGTGTGTGTGCCACAAGGTGAACATCAAGCACTGCTAGGAGGAAAGCTTGTGTGGGGGCTAGGTGGAACATACTGTAGGTAAAGGCTGCGCTGCAAAATTAGGGGCGAAAAATACTGAACTGGCACAGACAAAGTGCGTAATTAGGGACGAAAAATACTGAACTGGCACAGACAAAGTGCGTAATTAGGGGCGAAAAATACTGAACTGGCACAGACAAAGTGCGTGTAACAACTGAATTAAAATGAAAAACCAAAAAGGGTTGAGGTGACGTACAAGGAAGAGGCACTGCAAGCAAACCCTGCCTGATCCTACCGGGGTGCTATCTATGCCGTAAAACAGGTGCTTTTATAACTTTTTTTATATTTGTGTGCCTAAACGTGACACTTATCTGTGAGTGCTATTGAAGGTGTGCTAATGCATGCTCCAAACGTCCCAGATATCAAATAAGCTTCGATGATTGTTCTTCCCATTTCGTCTTTGCTGCAAGCCAAAGTAGTAGTTTCCCCGAAGTTTGGGTGGCATTTACAACAAAGCAGGCTTAAGCAAGATTTCCCTCTATTGCAAGCCTACTTCACAGGAGCCTACTACACAAATTACCGTGTTCCTGGAGCCTTTTATTAAAGGGGTCATGACGCCCAATTTTCTACCATAATCTGTGTGATCCTTGTGCGTTCACATACAAGCTGGCGAAATTTCAGCGCATTTGGTTGTGCTGTTTATAAATGAGCAAGCGGCCTAGTGGTCTGGCAACACTGGCATGCTCGCTAGCTGTGATGTAACGAACTGTTTGCTCCGTGAGCTTCTGCGTAGTGCGCAGTACGGAGGGCGATTGTGTTTCATGGACACCTGTGCTTGCAATAGAGTTGTTTCAGCATTATTCAACATGCCACTGGAACTGAATGACTTGCAGCAGTGCCACCGCGTCGCCCATGCTGCACTGTGGGGTGCTAAGAGCGTACAGAGCAGGGAGAGTACGGCGTCATTCTTCAAGTTCTGTAAAGAGCCCGCCAAAGGCAACGCTTGGGAGATAAACGTGCGCAAGAAGGACTGGTGCGCAAGTGACACCCCTGTTTTGTGCTCAATGCACTTCACGGCATACAACTACAATGATGACGAGCGTCTTCTCGGCGAGTTCAGTATGCCAGTGAAAAAGCCGAGGCTGCGGCTGGACACAGTGCCAACCGTGTTTTTGCACCGTTCAGTCTTCCAAGCTAAGTGTTGGGGTGCTTTTGCAAAGTGTCAAAAGGAAAGAGGTAAGTGCATTTGTCGTTAGTAATAGCGCTGGCATCTGCGTTCGCCCAGTCTTCGACACTTTATTTGTTGCTCGAGCTGGTGGCGACGGGGTTGAAATCGAAATGCGCAGCCTACATGACGTTGTCGCCGCTTCTGCTGCTTGATGAATCGATGCCTGAATTGGGAGCTGATGACGGTGCTGACAGCATGGCGATGATACTGGTACTGCTTTGCAACACTTGCGGACCACGTGACAATCTAAATTCACAACACAGTGAACACACTGATCGCGTGCCGAAGGTGCCGTTTGCTAGCAGACAACTGCACCGTTTCCATCGGTTTGTGACGTTATGCACACCAAGGCAAAACGGCGGTAGGAGTTTACAACCGAGGACTTCTGTGGCTTATTTTGGACCGAATAATCTTTCACAGTCCAGATTGCGCACATGTTGAAGGCATATTCGACTTGTTTCTTTGCCGAATACTGCATTGTTGGGTGCACATGTCATGACCCCTTTAAGACACCTTCCCGTCTGCCGAATGTAACATGCGCCCCACACGGGGTGGAAGTGCTGTGCCAATTGTGC